TTTCTGACATCTTAACTACATGCCATGTCTATATGCTTGCCATTATATATACTGTATAAATATATGAAGCCATTTCCTCTAAAATGTTTGTAAGCGCAACTGCTGGTAGACAAACTAATTAAAGAAAGCTATGAAGCATTCTAAAGTAGTACTTTATCTATTATTAGCTGCTTGTAGCTTATATATCCATTGATTTTTGTGTTCAATTATATTGAGCATAACTCTCAGCAATATGAATTCCTGGCTACTTAAGTAAGCAGGCACAGAAGGATTTGTAACTATAGAAATGAATACCATCTTTGGATTGGAAACCACATGAATGTTTGCCACATAACTAAAAACATACCAATTCTCTCCTGGAAAATGTAAAATGCATTCTTTCTGACCACCAAATTCTCTCTATCAGTACAAAATCCATTGCATTACTGGCTACCTCCCAACATTCAAAAACATTGTTGGGGTTATTGTATCTAGAAAAGGGGTTATTAAAATCAGTTTACAATTTTTACCATAAGAACCAGAATGTGTAATGGTTATGGTGCTGCTTTTCTGATTTGCTTTCTCCTGGTTCGCCCAGTGGGTGCCTCTGGTAGCCACAGTGGCCATCCTCTGTGGCTATCATCTGGGAGAGAGCAAAATAAACTTTGTCCGCTGGTCTTTATTTCTTTTCTTCTTTTCTTTTCTGTTTTTTATTTCCCCTTCCGGTCAGTTTTTGTCTCCTGGCAACTGCCTGGACAAGTCCCTGGCAAGGTTTTTCAGAAGTGGTTTGCCATTGCCTCCTTCTTCAGGCTGAGAGAAAGTGACTGGCCCAAAGTCATCTCACTGAATTCATTCCAAGGGTAAGACTATAACTCATAGTCTCATGGTTTCTACTGCTATTTGGGAGGCATTGAAGAAAACTCAGAAACTTTGGCTCCAGTAACCATTTGTCCTGGAAATTTGTAGGAAAGTGACATATTTTACATTCAGTCTGAGAAAATTGGGAAGGTAACAGCGTTCCGTGCGCCTTTGGCATTTAGTCATGCCAGCCACATGACCAAGGAGAGGTCTTCAGAAAAGCACTGACTCTTTGGCTTTGAAACAGAGATAAGCACCGCCCCATAGAGTCAGGAACGACTAGCACATATGTGCGAGGGAAACCTTTACCTTAAGGGATGTGGTGGCTCAGTGGCTAAGACCCTGAGTTTGTCGATCAGAAAGGTCGGCAGTTCAGTGGTTCAAATCCCTAGTGCCACGTAATGGAGTGAGCTCCCATTACTTGTCCCAACTTCTGCCAACCTAGCAGTTTGAAAGCATGTAAAAATGCAAGTAGAAAAATAGGGACCACCTTTGGTGGGAAGGTAACAGCATTCCGTGCACCTTCAGCATTTAGTCATGCCGGCCACATGACCATGGAGAAGTCTTCGGGCAGCGCTGGCTCTTCAGCTTTGAAACGGAGATGAGCACTGTCCCCTAGAGTCGGGAATGACTAGCACATATGTGCGAGGGAACCTTTACCTTTACTTTTAAGAGGGGCAGGGTATGAAGCTTGAGGGAGTGTCCAGAGTCTCCCAACCAAACTCTATCACATGGACAGCAACTCTTTTTTCTGCTAGTCACTGATACTGAGTGGGACAGGAAAGGAGGCCAAGGAATTGACCAATCACTGCCCTACATTAAATGTACATTGACAAATGCTCTCTGATTTCACTGTTGAGGCAGAGTAAAACTGATGGTGGGGACAATGAAAATTAAGTGAGCATACATTTCTGTCACATCCAAGATGGAAGAAACCACATCAGAAAGCAGCTATCAGTAAGTGCCCTCAGATGCCTCTTTCTGATTATGAAGGAGAAATCTAGGGACACATTACCAAGAAGTGGAAAAGGCCAGAAAAGACAAACACTCTAGTTTTTTCAACAATAGCTTCCTCCACTACACACGTTTTTTCCCCCCTTCATATCAGTCAATATATTCATTTATACTTTTTAAAAGTATACTTGTTCTTTCGTATGATACTTTTATACATAGAAACACTTATCCTGGAAGCTTACCAAATAAAAGGTTAAACTTGTGCATAGTTCTCTGTAGATCAGACAAGCTAAAAGAAGCCACTGGTCATTCTGGAAAGTCATACATCAGATCTTTTTTTTTTATGAATGAGGTAAACTGCCATATCTTGTTCATAAAAATGTACAAAATTCCCACATTAAAGACTCACTTCAGCTGGGTTGTGTCTGAGCACTAACACTTGCTTAGGAAGAGAACCATAAGGATTTGGGTCTGTTGGGCTGGATCATTTTCAAGCAAATTCCTTATTTATAAAAATATTATATTTCCTGAGAGAACATCATAAGGATTATAAGGCTTTAGCTGGTAGTTGAGTTGAAAGAGACCATTCTAATAATTTCTCAAGACCAATTTCTATCTCTTTCCCTCAAGACTGACTTAGAGATGCATAAACTAGGCCTAATCTGTAGTTATGAACAATTGTAGTAGGGTTTACATTGTTTGACTTTTATTTTGCTATAATATATGAATGCCCTTCTTAGAAGAGTCATAGTTTGTAGATCTGCCTACGCTCAAATAAATGCAAATATAAGAGTATTTCAGGCCAGCTATTTTAATGCCCAAAGTCTAGAGGCAATAGGAATAAAACTTGTTTCCCCATCTCACGTTTAGTCATTGTAAGCAACAGCCCAGGCTCTGCCTGCATTTCCTGCAGACAGCTCTTATCATAGCAAATATGGGGAAGCAGTAATATTTGCACAATCTCTTTGTTCTTTTCTACTACCATAAAATTATTAGCATGGTAGGTTTATTAAAAGATCAGATATTAACTGAAAATACTTTGACCAAATATTCAGAAGGGCGGCAAGCATTGAAAATTGCCTAATGGAAGGTTTTAGCCCTCTCCACTGGACTTGTATGTTTTAAATCCAGGTGTTAAACAATTTCTGAAATACAGGCTTTTATAAAATTATAGGGAAATAAAGGAAGGGGATGTTTGATTTTAAAAAGCTGCATTCTTATTCTTCATTAATTCTGAGTTAATTGTATTTACCATTTTGTAAGGAGACTTTATTAATTCCATTTTCCAGTAAGATTTTGAGATTTTCGTCTGAATTATCCTTTCATAAAAGAAATCTGTTGGGGATTTATTTTATTTCAAAAAGTTGTTATCTGCCAATACTACTGGACAGCAGTAACAAATGCATCAGCTTATATTCATCATATGGAACAAGGAAAGTTCACTTAACCTAACATGTACAGGATTTGAGAAAGCTGCATTTAAAAATAGTGGAGAAAGTTGAACACGAAAAAGCACATCTAGTAGAAAGTCCTATGCATAAAATAAACATTGCAAAAAAAAAAAATCCAAATTTTGTATATGTATGAAAGGATGGATGTATCTTCTCTGGTTAGTTCAAGATACTTTAAAAGCCCTAAAATAGGCTAATCATAAAGGCGTGTAGGGTAAATTGTTCCTCTTTTGGAAAATATATCCTCTCTTATTACAAATACCCATACTTTTTTTCCCATGATTGATGCTAGACCTCCAATATTTAACCAAACTTATCCATTTACGCTTCAATTTATGCTTCAGGAATGCCCCTGTGGCCCCTGAAAAAATTAAATGTAATCCCTATAAAACCCATAAAATCTCTTTTCACAGGCTGACTTTTAATATAACAGGATAACTTTATTAAACATCGGAGAAGTATTGTTACCAATAGTAATAAATCAAAATCTGAAATTCTGTTTCTGTTCTGATAGTTTTAAAAATGAGACTCTTGGCCAATCTGCTGTTTCTGCTATAAATTACTGCCTTTTTGTATTCTTGAGCTGGATTGATAGATCAAAACAAATTTTGGTTGTTATCCAAGTAAGCAGAGTACAATGTCTTGGCATTCTAATGCCAAGACATTTGGAATCCTGATGCCAAAGGAAAGCTTTTTTGGGTGGCAGACCTGCAATCTCCTTCCCGATTCCAAACATGGGGTGTGCAGAGGCAAAAAAAGTGCATCGCGTTTCAAGCGGCGGATCTGGCCAGGAGGAAAGAGAAGGTGAGTCTGCTGAGGAGGAGGATGACGGCACGCGGCTCTGCAATGTGCAATGGGAAGAAAAGCACTTTCAGGCAGCAGCACTGCAAACCCCTCCCCGAATCCAAAATGGTTCCCAGTTCCCCGCTGCACATTGCAGGGGAACTAGCCGCCTACCGCCTGAAACGCAGCTCTGAGAATTGCATTGGGGAATCCAGGCAGCGGTGGCTGGCAAGGAGGAACGTTTCACTTTAGGGGCTCCAGTTCTGCTTGCTTGGCTCCTGGGCGCGGAGAGGGCTTAGGCGGCGGCTCCTCACACTGCTGAGGAGTGAAATCATTGCGACCATTGTGTGCCCTAAGCTGCCTACTGGGCAGCCAGAGGGGTGACCAGCTGCAAATCGTGGTGCCCGCCTTGTTCCCTGAAGCTGCCAGGCAAATTCCCCCCCCCAGACTGTCCCAAAGAGGTTTGTTCCTCAGGCTGTACTCTGTCCCTCCCCCCAGAACATGCGAGGGGTCTCTTTGGGGGAAAGCAAGTAGTCCCTGCAGATCGCAGGAGCACCCTGATAAGTTTTCTGGAAAAGAACTTATCAGTAATCGACACCCTCTTTCCCAGCCGAGTCTCTGAAGCACCTCTTGCTTGCAGGAGGAGGAGGAGGGCGGCATAAAGCACCACCACCTTAAATGCTGGTACGCAGAGGCAGAATTCTTGTTTTCTTGTTTTCCTCCCCCAAAATTAAGGTGCGTCTTATACACCGGTGCGTCTTATACACCGAAAAATATGGTAGATAATCTAAGTCCATTGGACTGATTGGACAAACTATTAGATCAATTTGTTCAAAGGTTTTATTTCACAGCATTTCAGCATTGTTAAGGGGGAAACATTCCATGAGTCTCTGCATGCACAGTTGGGAAGCAAGAATTTTTTTGGGGGGGTATATGGGTGTGGACATATATAAAACAAATAACTTTTAGTTGAAATTGGTTAAGTAAGCATCAACTTTAATTCAGAAAACAGATGAGTAGAAAACAATATATTTGGTCAGCACAATATAGAGCGGTGTTGTTGTTTTTTTAGTAGTCAAATAGGTTACAAATTACCAAAACCCCAAATACAAATTGTATGTGGTGCTTCAAAAAAAATCCAACTACAGATCCAATTCCTCAATCTACAAAGTTTTCTCATTTGGCTGAGAAACCATTTCCTTGGTTTCATTTTTTCTGGATCTGACAGTAAAGGGTCATTGAAAACACCATGCCAACAATCTGAAAAAGAAAGAAAGATGTTTAAGATGCATTGTTTGGCAACTTCAGTAACAGTTCAGTACACAGCAAGAACATTTTGTTTGCAAAATTCTTGGATTTTGCATGTACTAATGGATCTGCTATGTTAAAGATTGCATCCAACACCATTTAGAGATACGACTTTCAGATAGTGGGATTTTAATGAAACCCATGTATATTGCAGCATAGGAAACCTCAATTTATTCTGAAAGATGGATTGTTTTAACGGGTGAAGACAACTTGTGAGATTCTTACTTGTGCTTTATTTTGCAATATTTGTGGGAAAGAGATCAGATTTCTTGAAAGCTGAAAAGATTTTTCATACTGCTTCCTGTCAACATTAGAATTCTTAGAAACCTTACTCATAAAGATATGAATTACTTGCATTTCTATAACAAATTATAGCAAAACAACTATCTTGCATAATTGAATAACTAATGTATTGTTGCATAAATGTTCATGGAATTATGTTCACTACTTCAAATCCACAGAGTATATTACCATGGGAGGAATATTATAAAAAGGGGTTTTAAAAATGGTTTGTGTTGAAGGTGCCACAATATTTGAAATTTGAATTCTTGTGCAACTGTTATTACAAATGTGGGAATTTGCTGTTCTAGATAACTGGTCACTTCAATTTAACAAAATGTTTATAACAAATTAAAGTAGAAATTGGAGCACATTCATATATGTGTTGCTTTAAGTAAAATTGAAACTGACTATCAAATGGAATTTTTCACTGGAGTTTTAAAATTGATTATTTTTCTAGCTCTTCATGAACACTTGGAAGCTACCACGTGTTTATGAAGAGCTAAAAAACTCAGAACTCTGACTACATTTTTGTAATCAATAGTTGAAACAAACACTAAACAACACTACATAAAAAGAGGCAGTCATTAAGGCAAGTCTGCTTCACTGTTCCACAAATAAAGGTATTTGGAATTCACTCTAAAAGAACTAGTTATAGAACAGTATGGCTGGTGTACATTAGCTGTAGGAGAAGTAAATCCTTCCATCAGCCTTTGATGCCTTCTCTAACTACTACACTTGAAAACAATTCTCATTTTGAGACAGAAAATATGATATCTCTATTGAATAGCAGAGATTAAAACAAAAACGCAAACCAAAGAGGAAAAGAACAAATAGCCTTCCTCAATATAAATTTTTGCCTCACCCAATGAAGACTTTACCCTTACAAAAGAGCGCGCTATAGTAATAAATTGCCAAACATTTACAATGGGAAGCTCAGAGATCCAAGCAACTGTTATCTGTTAACAGTTAACTGCTAACTGTTAACTATTAACTGTTAAACGAGCTGTATGTTTTACATCTTTTTCTGTAAATTAAGATATCAGAGACTAAGAATCTATCTGGAAAAGTAAATGAAGTTAAGTTTCCTTTTCCACTTTTTAAAAAATCCTTTATGTTTGTTTGAACTTCACTCCTTGTTCTTATTGAACCCACCTCATTTTTGTAATTCCAAGTTCAAATTCTTATTATTGAACAAACTGGATTAACATCCAACTCCTGGGCCTTATCCAAAACCCACCACAGCATTAATCAAATCAGAAAAAAGCAGGTTCTCATATTTGAATTAAAATGTTTTCTCACAAGAATTCCATGATTACAGAGGTCACATTAAAATTTAAAGTCTTATTTTTACTGCACTTTAATTGTGTTAGCATTATCATTATTCTTGTTTTTTGTAAAACAAGGTTTTTACAAAACAAGCTAGAAACGGCGAGACAATGACTTTTGTTCCAACCTCAGGTACCAAGGTAGCTGTGTCAGTCATTTTCTCTTTAAGTCTACAAAGGAAATAATGGTAAATCACTTCTGAAATATTATCAGAAAAATTTAGGAATTTTTCCAGGCAATCTCCAGGATGCAAGATTGACTCAATTGCTCCATCCCTCCTCCCCAAAAAACCCTGACCAACAATTAAGTTTCTTAAAAAACCTCATAATTTGGATAGAAAAATCAATGACTGATTTAAAATTCATGTATATTAACCTGAGACAAAGATTCAATACAGAAACAATAATCCAGTGATATGGTGGTAGTGGTGGCAGCACTATTATTAGTTCTACTGTAGTTTAATCCAGTCCAAGACAGGTTTTCTCTCAATTCATGGATGATTGTCTCCTACCTGTCTTTAGAGGAGGCTGTTAATTTTATATTGCCTGAATCACTGTTTTGGGGTCTTACAAAAATATTGTATCAATTGTTTTAAGAATATTAAAGAGGAATCTAAAAAACAAACAAAAACGTCCTGTGATTTTGATGCTATTCCTCTGTTGATGCAGCCTAGGACTGCTTTGGCTTTTTTGACAGCTGCAGCACAGTACTGACTCATACTTAAGCAGTGATCCACCAGGACACCCAGATCCGTCTTGTTTATTTGATTCCTCATTGATCCACTCTGCTTGTTTTTGAATAGAGGGGAAACGTTTAGGGATATCTCCCTTTAAGTCTTTGACCATTTTTAAATTATTTTACTTAGTGGTTCACTCCACTGTTTACCTTATATGTTATTTGCAATCTCTGTATCAGCTCTGTTTACACAACAGGAAGTCTATCAGAATACACAGCTTCTTTTTTTTTTGTTTCTTCTATTTATTGAACTACACAATTCAGGAGGCTGACTTATAGAGTCCAGTGAGATCTCACTCATGGCTTCTATTGAGCAGGACTTTGTTCAGTTCTGAACTATTTTTCATATAATTCACAGTCAGGATTTTCCTATTTACCTGGATAAGAAGTAGGAATATGCAACAGAAAGGACTCCATTTATTCAGTGGGACCAATCTTTTATGTTCTAATTTCTAATGACTCCACCACCACCACCCAAAAAAAATTGGCGGGACTTTTGAATTCAGAACATGGAAGGTGGCAACCTAGCAGCAGCCCTTTCCTGAATATGCAGAAATATTCTTCATCAAGTCACTATCAATACTGTTGAGGTATGCTTATCATTTAACAAGACTTGATGAACCACAACCATACAATTTGGTGTACTACAATGAAATGATAGCTTGCAATATCATAACATATTGAAATAAGATTTTATTAGTATACCTCAATAAATGCCAGTCCAAATGCTATCCCCATAACTATAACCATATTTTTCTTGAACATTTCTATAATTGCAGTTGCACAAGTCTGAAAGAAAGGCAAAGACAAAAATGGTATAAATTACTCATGCATCAGCTATTTTAACCTATTAGCCATGTTACAAATTTAGAATAATTTTGCTGGTATCAAATTAATTATTTTAATTAATTTGCTGGTATTTTGCTGGCAAAGGAGAAATGAGTAACGTATCTTCATTTCTTTAAACTTCCAAGATCTGCTGTGAGATTTTTATAATTCTAATGAAAAAGTGGATAATAAATTGAATAAATAAATAAGATCTGAATTGTTTTTTATAAGTATTACAATAGAAACATTTAAGAAACAAAACAGTTTTGATAATTGGTTTCATCCAGGTTTAGAAAGTCAATCAGATGAAACAACTCTTTAAAAAACCAAGCACTAAGGCTAGTGAATGCCTGAACCACTTGGGATTTTCTACAAATTCCATATTTTATGTGGAAGAAATGTGAAAAATACATAAAAACAAGTTGGCCTATAGAATTTGATGGGAACTGCCAATTGTGGTAACCATTAAGTATATGAATATTAGTCTAACTTGTCTCTCAATTATTTTCAATGTGATTATTTTCACAAGCCTTCATCAATCCATCATGCATTGTTTTAGAAGCTTTATCAATACATTGTTAGATAGTAAATTGTGCATCATTATATAAAGGAAGACTTTGGTGTATTTGTACTTATTCTGGAATATAAAAGAGCAACATGCATGACCAAAAATTTGAGAGAAATGCTTTGGATATTACACGAGAGAACACAACCTCTGTCTGCTATTTATTAAAATAGTTCAACTTTCACCAAGTTTGGTGTAAACCTGAAAAAAAGACATGTCAGTATTAAAGAATTGACTTACTAAAGTATTCATTCATGTGTTTATTTATATTCATCAACTGACTCTGATATATAACATTAGAAACATTTTTTTAAAAGCATCTGCTGTTTAAAAAGCTACAAGCTTATATTAGTTTTGGAATTAGTAACTCACATAACACATAACAGGCTCTACAAATGATTTGCATAATATCTTGGCTTGAAGGAAGGATCCTAAAAAATAAATATTTACCCATTTTGGCATAATACAGCACTATTTAAAACCACTGAGCTAGAAACCATGAGATTATGAGTTCTAGTTCTGCCTTAGGGATGAAAACATCTGGATGACCTTAGGCCAATCACTTTCTCTCAGCACAAGGAAGGAAGCAATAGCAAAACTGTGAAAGGGATGGATCTGGCCCAATAATTCACAAGACAACGTAGTTTCTTCTAGAAACTCTTTTATTGTAGGCCTAAGCTGATCCTAGGCCCATTCATGTAATAGCAACTGACCTGTTGTCCTTCTCTTACAGGTACACATCTGGAACTGCTGGATGGCCTCGTGGGGAGACCTCTTATACTCAGGGGGAGGAGTTAGAGGTAAGGTGGGATTGTGGGAATGATGGGGTGTGTGGTTACGTTAACCCTTGCAGGACTGTGAGGGGTTGGAGTATGAACAAGTTAGACATTTAACTTGACAAAAACCCCTTTAAATGTCTAACTGATGGCATTTACATGGTATTTATATATATATATACGTTAGCATACACAGAGTTACATGATTTACAGATAAACACATAATTTTGACATGAGGTATGCGTGTTGTTTGTGAGGTAAAGGTTTGGTGAGTATATCTGCTGTTTGCTCTTCGGTGTCGCAGTGTATGGTCTTAATGAACCCGATCTCTGAGAACTGCCTGACATGTTTATATTTAATATCGATGTGACTTGATCATTGGCCAACGGCATCGGCTTTTGCTATTTCAATGGCTGCTTTATTGTCCTCGTGAATGGTTATTGGGTATGATGGTTCGGTCCAAACATCGCTGAGTAAGTCATCGAACCATATTAGGTTATTTGCAGCTTTAGATAAGCAAACGAACTCTGCCTCGGTGGTGGAGGTGGCTACTAGTTTTTGTTTCTCAGTGTACCAATGTATTGGGCTGTTGTTGAGGAAAAGTACGTATCCGGAGGTGTTTTTCCTACTTTTGATATCCCCCGCCCAATCGGTGTCCGCATAACAAGATAGGTTTGGTTTTGTGGACAAGTCTGGTTCAAGGCATAATTGGGCGTCAGTACTGTATTTTAAGTATCTGAGCAACCTTTTTATGGCATCCCAATGGAAAGTTGTGGGTTTGCTCACATGTCTGGATAGCAAGTTGACAGCTAGAGCAATGTCTGGTCTTGTCCAATTAGCTATGTACAGTAGTGACCCTATGGTAGATCTATATAGTTTGTTGTCAGCGAAGGGTTCAGCTTCATTGTACATATTTTTTAGAAAATCTGGCTGCATGCGGGTTTCACTGGGTTTTGCCTCTGACATATTACATTTTGATAAAAGTTCTGAGATTTTCTCCTTTTGTGAGAGCCTGAACCCTCTATCAGTTTTGGTCACTTGAACCCCTAGGTATTTGTCTATTTTTCCTAGTGATTTTAATGAGAAATGATTCCTTAACTCGGTGGCAAACTTGTCACATTTGGTTTTTTGCTTCCCTATGTATAAGATGTCATCCACGTAGACAAGGATGCCTTCAAATGACTCTTTTTCTCTCTTTATGAAGAAGCATTTATCAGCTGAAGTGGCGGTGAAGCCCATAGAGTTGAGAGCCTTGGCCAGACAATCGTACCATCTTTTGCCTGACTGTTTGAGTCCATATAAACTTTTATTCAGAAGCCATGTGTTGTCTTTTCCTTTGTCATATCCTGGTGCGGCCATGACATAGATCTCTTTGTCCAATTCTGCATGAAGGTATGCAGTTTGTACATCGAATTGAAACACCTCTAATCCTAGGATGGTGGCTATCACTAGGGCGCTCTTGACGCTCTCAGCCCTGACTGTGGGTGAGTAGGTGTCTGTGTAATCCTCTGGATACCTTTGGGCGAAGCCTTGTGCTACTAGTCTTGCTTTGTACAGCTTTTCGTTGTTTTCTAGTGTTTTGATTTTGTATACCCACTTGGTCCCAATGGGTTTTTTGTTCTCTGGTGCTCGGGCTGGCGAGTACACTTGCAGGTCTCTTAGGCTCTTTTTCCTTTTCCATAGCATGTTCACACTTTTCTTTCTCTTCTTGTGGAAGGTTGAGTATCTCTTCGTAGGAATTGGGCGTGGCATTATTTGTTCGTATAGACATGACATAGTCCCCAAGTCTCTTTGGTAGTCTGTTTCTGTTTTCTCTGATTGGTCTACTAGGTGGTGTGTCTGTTTCATGCATGCACTTAGCCTCTTTGTCAGTGAAACTGTCTAAGTTCAAGGTGGGGTGTCCTTCCTTCCATTCTTCGGCCTTTATTTCGGTACATTCCAACATTCTCTTAACAACTGGGAAACTGATGTGCCGTAGTCTCCTATGAAGAAGATGGGCACAATTATCATGGATAGGTTTTCCCATAGATACCACATTTTTGTCTGGTGATTTACAATTAGTTGCCCTCTGGTGTACCCCTTCTGTTTCTGGGTTTCCTTTTCTATCACTAGCAGTGGTTGTGTTTACACTTCCTTCGTTACTCTCGATAGGTGTGAAGTAGAGTAGACCATCATGTATGGTTACCTCCCCAACCTTTTCCCCTTGACTGGATATGTAAGCTCTGCCTTCTTTGAACATTACTTTGCTGTCTGTGTCCTGTATAAGTCTTATGGTCGCTAGTACATTATATGGTATTTCTGGCACATATAACACCCCCTCTATCTCTCCTATTCCTGGGATATGTACGCTTCCCTTCCCTATTACCTTGGCACTGCTCTGGTTACATGTGGTGTGGTTTGTGGCTCCTGAGTCTAAGAGCCACATGTTCTCGCTTATTTTTTGTCTGGATTTTGGTTTCCCATATCTGAAACCGTACTTGGATCCTGGGTTACCATCCCTGGAATTGTCCCTATGCTCATTGTTTCACCTGGGGTTGGGAGACCACCCACGCCCTCGTTCCCTGAAGGGTCTGCAGTCTGGTGATTGTCTCCCCCTGCGATCATTGTATCCCCTGTCCCTATTGCTTCTGGGGCAATCCCTTTTTAAATGATTCCTAGAACCACAAGAAAAGCATTCTGAAGTACCCTTTGCCCTATCCTGGAATTCAACCCTCCTGGCAGGTCTAGGATCTCTCCTGGATAGATGGCGGTCCCTCCTTAGGTTATCTTCTGCAATTAAGCAATTGGTGAGTGTGTCTAAAGATAAATGTTCTATACTAAGGCTATCTAGTTGTGTCACAAAATTGTCCCAGCTAGAATTCAATGAGTTTATAACTATGCTCATCATGCTCTCTTCGGTTATTGCTTCCCCCCTCTGCAGCAATTCAGCCCTGGTAGCATTGAGCCTTAACAAATGCTCACTCATGGTGACCACTGGCCTGAGACTGGCAGAATGAAAATCTCTGGATATTCTTGTGGTGGTTGCTCTGCTCTGGCTGTAGAATAAACTATATAACTTTTGCATAACCTCATACATGGTTAGGTTGTTACCTATGCTATCAGTGGGCTCCGATTCATGGACGCTGGACTCAGGACGAGCAGGGAAACCTGGTGGAGGTCGCAGGATCGGTGAGTGTCTGGCTTGGTCTTCCTCTCTCGGGTCTCACGCTGGTGGTAGGTAGTGTGGCTCATCTGGGGTTCGTCGCGGGGTCGGTGTGGTGCCCGTTGTTGATCGGTGGCTGCTGCAGGCGGTGGTCATTTCCCCGTTAGCCCTTTGCATCTCTGGAGTCTCCTCGCGGTTTGCAGTTTGTGCGGGAGGCTTAAAAGCGGAGCCGAATGCTGCCGCTAGAGTTTCGATAGCTTTTTCTATCTCGAGCTCGGTAGGAGAGCTCCTGGTGTTTTGGGTTTGTTCTTCGTTGTTGTTTTTGGAATATTCTTCATTCCTTTTGGGGTTCTCGCTAGTTCACGCCATTGGATTTAAATCCAGGCTCCCCATTGGTTGCTGGCCATTCAAAGATGGCCGCCGGGAAAAAGGCGTGAAAATGAGTTCGGCCCGGTGTGTCTGGTTGAAAGAGCCCCTCTCTTACCGGGGTGGTGGTCTCTGGTGCTTGTTCCTGGGCTTCCATTGCTGCTCCACGGTTTCCTAGAAGGCTTTGGAGTTTCGCAATGATCTCTTCGTTGCTGGCAGGTGTTTCCATCATTTTTAGTATGGATAGCCTGAGTTCGTCTCTCTCTAGCGGTGCGTCCCTTTTGTGATCACTTGTTATTTCCTGTTGTCTCTCATCCCTGGGTAGTGAGTCTGGCTCGATGTCCTGCTCACTTTCAGCTGGGGTGGCTCTTGGTATGGCACCTCCGGGTGTCAGTTGTGCAGCCATTTGCCTGGTAAACGCTCTGGTGTTTACTCTGTTCTTCTTTTCAGAATAAACAGCTCGTTCAGTCATTATTCAGAGTTATGGGCAACCATCCTCTGTTACCATATTGTGAAAGGGATGGATCTGGCCCAATAACTCACAAGACAAAGTAGTTTCTTCTAGAAACTTTTTTATTGTAGGCCTAAGCTGATCCTAGGCCCATTCATGTAATAGCAACTGACCTGTTGTCCTTCTCTTACAGGTACACATCTGGAACTGCTGGATGGCCTCGTGGGGAGACCTCTTATACTCAGGGGGAGGAGTTAGAGGTAAGGTGGGATTGTGGGAGTGATGGGGTGTGTGGTTACGTTACCCCTTGCAGGACTGTGAGGGGTTGGAGTATGAACAAGTTAGACATTTAACTTGACAAAAATACTTCTGAAATCTTGCCAAGAGAACTCCACAGACCTGCCCAGGTAGCTGATAGAAATTAATACTGACTTGAAGACATCAGAAAACAAACAAACAAACAAACAAACAAGCAAAGTAGTAACAGAAATGCAAAGTATAATAATTATTGTTTTCCTTAGCTTTCCACTAACTAGGATGCTTCCTAGATGAAGAATAGGGCAGAAGTATAAACATCCAATCAATGCCTGATAATCATCCTGCGTCATTGTTCCGTAGAATGATTCCATGATATATGAATCTGGAGACCACAAATGGCCACTAAACCTAATAGTCATTGATGTACTCATGCTATTTTTTTCTTACCTTTTCATACTGTTTTCCAACACAATAACTTGTACCTATGTCTGTCTGATCACATTCACATCCATGGTAAGTATTACGGTTGTTTCCCCAATCTGATTGTCCCTTAAGCAAGCCACAACATTTGTACTACAAGAAAAACAATAACGAAGAGTTTAGTTTGGTAAACTAATTCTTCTGACTCATAAGCAGCAAATCTTATACTGCAGTCTTTTCAGTTTTCCATCAACTTTGCTGAATATTCTTCCCATATAAGGGCCATGCAAGAGGTATATACCATTCACTGACACAAAGAAGGGAAATTTGATGAATTTATAGCCACTTCTGCAGAAAACTGAGATTAGTTGTTTAAAATACAGTGTTAGACAGACAGAAATTTTACATTATATTTTATCCTGTAAAGTTAGAAAAATCAGCATGAAAATATGCAGGCAATACTTCTTTGGTCAGAAGACTGGAAAAGAAAAGAGATTAAATATAAAAGCCTAACTCTATAGGATTGTTGGCATCCCTCGGCATCTACTAACTACAGGTAAACACCATAGTCATGCTTTAAACCCAGTTCTACTGTACATGCATCCCAATGTAAGAAGCTAGCATGGATGTCAGTGAAATTTCACTTGCCCTTCTTCCCACATCCCTATGTCAATGCCACCTTCAAACCAAATTAAAATGGCTATTCTTTTTCCTGATAATTAAAAACAAAAATTAACAATCAGAAATGTTCTATAATAGATACTGTATGTATTGCTGCCTGCTAATGTCTAAACATCAAGTAGGAGCCTTGATAGCACAGTGGTCTAGAGCACCCTGTCATTAACACAGCTGCCTGCAATTACTGCTGGTTCGAATCTCTCCAAGGCTCAAGGTTGACTCAGCCTTCCATCCTTTCTAAGGTAGGTAAATTGAGGACCCAGTTTGTGGGGGCAATAAGCTGACTTTGTATAAATATACAAAAGTATGAAGGCTATTGCTTAGCGCATTGTAAGCCGCCCTGAGTCTCCGGAGAAGGGCGGCATATAAATCAAATTAAAAAAAAAAAAGTAACAATCTACAGCAGTGTTTCTCAGCCTTGACAACTTTAAGACATGTGGACTTCAACTCCCAGAATTCTGGAAGTTGAAGTCCACATGTCAAAGTTGCCAATGTTGAGAATCACTAATCTGCAGCTTGAAAACAGAATTCTTGAGAAGTCAGCAGTGTCATAAACAGGCTCTAGTAGGTTATAGTTATCTAACATTGCCTGGAATACCAAATACACACATCATTTTCTCAGATCATTAATGCTTCTAGGAGTCAGTCATTTTTTTACAGATTATTTGTATTTATTAAAGCTTGACCTATATTTGCTATTGTGAAATTGGAGATGACAATGGTTTTCAAACATAGTTTGATTTTAAGATGTTGGAACAAGTGGAGTAAAAATAGTAGTAAATATTAATGAACTTAATTTGCCTTTATCTCAAGTTTGTGGAAACCTTCCAGAATATCCTTATCATTAGTTGAAGCAATTTTCAATGCGTCAATTTGTTTCTCGAGAGTCTGGTTTAGGGCGCCTTCAATCTGCAAATGAACAGATGATACAATCAGCCTATGTAATTTAATTATTACATAAATTAATAAGATTAGAAGAATGAAATACCTGAGATTTATATACTGCTCCTAAAATGCCTGCTACAATTTGGAGAAGCAGAATCATCAGTAGTCCAATGAAAAACTGGTGGGAAAAAATAAAAATAAAAAAATTATCTCAGCTCCAGGAAGGTGTATTTACATACTGCTTCTTTTAGTAATGGTTTCATGTTCTGAAATGGTTTACAATATTATAAGATATTTACAAAATGAAACAAAATCCCTTGAAAAGGCACTTGTTAGGAAAGACAGATTTTTGAAATCAGAATGTGAGTATAGGCAATGTTCAAAAGTTGTACATAAGAGATATTTTAAGAATATACAGATTTTTATGTATTGAGGAAAACTGAAATTAACGGAATTACATAATTCAGTATGTACTATAATTGTACACAATTCTGAAACAAAGCTGCATTTTCTTTAGATAATAATTTTTACAAGGCAGGGCTCATAGGATATCTTATTGTTTTCCATCCATTAGAATAATGAATTGCTTCCTTTCAATGATATGTGCTTGCTTGTATGGTAATTATAGCATTTTTGAATAATTAGTCAAAGTAGACCATGTATATTTTAATACATGTTACAACACTTAATGATTAACCCTACAGTTTGTCACACTTAGGGTAAAACCTAAGCGTTTCTTAAGTAAGTTCTCAAAAAAAATTCATTCATAATTCTGATTAGGCATAAATAATTATAGAGAGATCACTATTTAACAAGAATAATGGACAATGTTGGATTAAAATAATGGAGCCTCACAAAAGTCAAACTTGTTTTTTACAAGATATGAAAATGATTCATTAAAACCAATGTTGAAGTAGAAAGGAATATCAGGAGAGGAGACGGGAAAAAAGGTTCTTAATTTTATAGCTGACATATAGCTACTTAAAACTTCTTAAAGAGTTTTGTGAAATTCTTGTCTTTTGGTTTCTACAAACCTGCCTTTATTACAACACCCACCAAAATAAATACATCCATTGAGACTGAACTTGCTTTCTAGGACTGATTAGATCTGTCCAGGTGATGAAATGTATGGAATCATGGAGTCAGGACAAGTTTCTGTCTGGTGCAAGGGTACAACATTTGATCAACCCCTGAGATTGTCTACAAACTGCCCAGTTACTTCAGAAGCTGCCTGCCATACCTAAGTCTGACTGGTGGGTTCTTGGGAAAAAGCCTCTTCTATGGCTCCCAGATTATGGGATGTTTTTCTACTAAGGTATGTTTATTTAGGAAAATGGTAAAGGCATATTTTCTTTTTGCCAGACTTCTACTTATTAAATATTTTAATTATTGCTTTTAATTGTAATTGCATAGCTTTTGTTTAACACTATGTATTATGTACTGTCATAATCACTTGGAATGTTGCGATAAACACAAAGACGGCATATAAATTTTATAATGAATAAATATATGGTAAAGAAGTTAAGGATACAGTCAGTAGCTCTGATCCTAATTTTTGCAAAAGTCCATTAGCAGGTTACATAGACTGCATATGTTGTAGGCTTAGTTTAGATATCTGAAAGTTAGTGACTGCACTTAGATACTAAACAGAGTTACCCTTATAGATCACATGCAAATATAGCTCTGCCCTCAGCTGTCCCTTCTGAAGAATTGGGAAAACTGAGATCAACAATGCCAGCCTATAAATATTCCAGGTTGTAAGCCCATGACTTTCAGTTTCCCCACTTTCCCCAAGTGAGAAAAACACTGAGTGCCAAGATTGCCACAATTCAACTCAAAAGCAACTAAAGGAGAACCAGGGAAACAATCTGGCACCATACACAGGTTCTTTACCTCTATGTTATCTCTGAGGAACATGCCATTTTTGAGGAATTACTGAAATAGTATTATGATGTAGCAGAACCGACATTCTGAAGCCTATGAAGAAACCAGCACCTTTTCTTTTTTGTGAAGGACAACCTTACGTAAATACTGAATTGAATTAAGAATCAGAACATTCTTAATTCAATTCAGTCACAAAAATGACTGCATTGGAGAAAAGCAGTTAGGACAGACATTCAGATAGCAACAGCCTTTTATTTTCATTCTGAAATCTACTTGGTTCATGTTCCTTTCTTGCCTTCTTCAAAATAGGTGTTCATAATGTATGTAGTCTATGTAATCTGTAATCAAAGTTCATATTAGCCAGTATTAGAATTCCTACCTAGTGTGCATAACAATACAGGTAGTCCTCAATTTACGACCACAATTGAGCTCAAAATTTATGTTGTTAAATGAGTTTTGCCCCATTTTACAACCTTTCTAGCCACGGTTGTTAAGTGAATCTGGCTTCCCCATTGACTTTGCTTCTCAAAAGGTCGCAAAAGCTGTTCACAAGACCCCAGAATACTGCAACCGTCCTAAATATGAACAGGTTGCCAGGCATCCAAATTTTGATTACATGACCATGGGGATGATGCAACAGTGTGAAAAATGATCAAGTTATTTTTTTCGGTGCCATTATAACTTTGAATAGTCACTAAATGAACTGTTGTAAGTCGAGGGCTACCTGTATTTATGGATTTTGGCTTAGGAAAGAAACCAGGTATCATTTTTATCTTTCATGTGTAATTCACGTTTTCTCCCAAATCTCCTTAAATTCATATCTTTCTGCATAGAAAATGGTAAGGAGTACACTACAGGGTAGTTACAGTCTTGTCATTGGCAGTACAAGGCACATTCTCCTTACTCCTGCTTGAGAAAAACAATCCTACCTAAAACTTGCACTAAAGATAATTTATTCAACAAGATAATTTGTCCAACAAGATAAATACATGCAGGGCATTGCTTTGAAAATATTGGCAAAGAAAACGTTACAGAAATTGAAACTCTACCAGGAGGAGCATGCACTGGCTCTCCTTCATGGCACCACAGCAACCTAGAAACCCAAGCACCATAATGACTGAGCCCACAGCAATGAGGAGATTAACAGCAGAAAGCATGCTTGAGTCTATATGGAATTCCTGTAAAAAGATAAATACAAGGATTCAGATACTATCAGTGAAATAGTTAAGGAAGTTAAAGGTAATCTAAAAAGGAAGCTAGGAGCAAACGAACAGCTCTCTATTATTCATAGACATAAGTCATATTATCAACAAACTACTTTGCCCTAAGGCAATACTCTCAGTCATGGCATTTCATTCTGATTGTTCAGTACCCAAGGACATTGCTCTAGTGCTGGAACTCCAGAGAAGGCAGCGGATTGCTTCGGTACGGGTGAGATGTACTGAAACAGTTTATGCGGAAGTGGGATTGCCTAGTTTTTAGACAATACAGCAGATTATAAATTCCCAGATTAGAACAGAATGATGAATATTTATTGTATTACTCATATCCTGCATTTTCAGTGTCAGTTTGCTTCTTGGATGGCAAACAAACCCATACACTATAATGAAAAGCTAATAAAAAATAGATGTATAAATATATAAATAACTAAGGAAATCAAAATCAAATCAAATCAATAGTACAAGTAAAAAAACCACATTCAAATCAGTTTGAATGAACCATATAATACATTTTGCCTGATCAGATTAAAGGTGTACACAAGTATTCCTAGAATTGATTAATTGATTATGTGTCATTATGTATTAGGAGTTTTTGACTTCTAATCACCTGAAAGAACATTAGATATACATCATGATGTATATTCATTATTAGGAGATGAAAATTCCTAGAAAGGGCATTTCAATACGAAGAACTCAAATAAAAAAGTCATTTTTCCAGTTATTTCCAGAGGATAAGTCATTTGTTGGTCCAGCACCGTCTCCTGGTTGCTATTGAATTATGTCACATAAACTCACCATATTAAGGGCAGCAATCTAACAGGCGTTTGCTAATTAATGCCTTTATGCCACAGGGTAAAAATAGGTGGCAGATTATTAATTTATTAGATCCTGAAAAACTTAAAACAGAGTCAGGCATAGCAATACCTGGCTGGTAAAACAAACCAGGAAATTCTAGGATTGTAGAGTAGATTAACAAATTAAGAAAACCCACAGAAATCTCTTTTAACATGGATATGTCCATGAAGGCAGCAAAAGTCAAGCTGACTAGAAGAGGATGACATTTTTAATCTTAAAAAACTAATATAGGAGAAGAATGTGGTATTAGTACATTGCTGGTATAGAGTGCAACAGTTGCCCATAACTTCACTGAATTTGGATTAAAATTAATTTGTATAGTTGACACCAATTTTGTAAACTGTTTCACAAAAAGATTTTAAGAGGTAATTATTTGTATCTTGTTCCTGATCACATGAATAAAATGTTTCAAGAACACTTTTCATGCTTTCATTCAATACAGTGTTAAGTACCTATTTTTACATTTAAAACTTTAAATTAAACTGGTAATTTATATACTTTCTTAACTGGAAAATCTAGGAGTAAACTGAGGCAAGGGAGATAAGGCTCACCCCGTAAATTCTAGGAGAATTCATCACTGCTTGGGATTGCTCAGGATCAAATTTTGCTAATTCTAAGATTCTTTATTCCAAATGTAAAAAAAGTTTTACATTTTGAAAATTAAAAGAAGGAAATCTTCGTTTCTCAATGAAGTTATTGTGAGGCCAACCTGTTTTTACAAAATAGCTATGAACAAAGGTATACAGTCTATCTAAGTTTCTAAGAGAAGATTCTCTTTCTAAGGGAAAACCCTTACCTAAGCCTTTTTATAGAGAAAAGGCTTATGACTTCTTAAAATCTCAGCCAGAAATCTGGGCATCACGATAATAAAAAGACACCTATCCTGTGCCTTTGATTTAAGGCTGTAATAACAAGTATCTGGAAAAATCCAGGAGGAACATATAGTAATCACATGCTGAAATAATTCATTGTCCCTAAAACAGAGGTAAATATTTAGCCATGAATGAGCAATTACCGGTAGATGCTTGATTTACTTTTATGTGTGTGATATTGAAATCTTTATTGTTTCTGATATTTATTTTTCCCTCTGCAAACTTAGTGACTATGTGACTTCAGTAATAGATCACTAACATATTTCAGGCTGTACAGAGTGTTAAATTTTTATATTTAAATTTTTATAATTTTCCTTTTAGAGGCTTTTTGAAATAGTTTTCTCCTCCTTAAGTATTGCTACTTAAAGTAGGAAAAATAAATTTTACATTAAAGTTTCTTTTTTAAATAAAGTAATTCTTTATTTATAACTTGAAATTGATCTCAACTTCCAAAGAGGAGTAGAGGGTGACTGCTATAGAATTTATTTCATTTTTATCCACTTTATTTTTCTGTGACTTGCCAGGAAGATGCAGCTGTAATATGTGTTCACACATCCAATTATTATTGAAAAAAGAAAAGCATATTTACCTCTTGAATATTTTTGCTGACCTGTATCCATATAGAGACTCCCAGAATAATACATCCAATTATCTAGTTAAAGGGAGAAAAAAAATCAATATCCTCAAAAAAAAATAAAAATGAAGCCACTACTTGATGCAGATGCCTGAAACATTTTTTTCCTATTATTTAATTATTTAATCCCATCTTAATATGCATTAACAATCCCAAACGCCATATACAAATTGATTCTATTAATAAAAGAAATCTAATTTCCCAAGTACTGTCTTGGACAAAATGCCCATTTCTCACTTAAAATATAATTTTGTTTTCGAAAAAGTTGCTATGACATGTGACACACATAAAAAGAGCATGTTGCCATCTTGACTTCTGTATAACACACCCTGTGGAGAACCCTGTGAATGCTTTTTCTGCTTGCTTTTTTATCTCAATATTGTGTTTGATTTTTTTTTTAAAGTATATTTTTAAATACTGGAGAAAGGGCCACAGTTTTCCCCCTTTCCCTTTGAATGTCAAAAGACATTGCAGGTAGTCCTCGACTTACAATAGTTCACTTAGTGACTATTTGAAGTTACAATGGCACTGAAAAAAGTGACTTATGACTGTTTTTCATTCTATGACCATTGTAGCATCACCATGATCATGCGCTCAAAATTCAGACGGTTCAGAATTGACTCACATTTATGACCGTTGCAGTGTCCCAGGGTCATGCAATCACTTTTTTCAACCTTCTGATAAGCAAACTCAAGGAAAACCAGATTCACTTAACAGCTGTGGCAAGAAAGGTTGTAAAATGGGCCAAAATTCACTTAAGAAATGTTTCACTTAGCAACAGAAATTTGGGGTTCAATTATGATCATAAGTTGAGGACCACCTGCATTTTTTTCATAGCACAACGCACAATTAGCTTAAGGATAAATTTCTATGAGTTGGTTAGATTACTCAACATTCAGGTCAACCAGAAATCTTCATCAGTGTGATTAGTATTACCTGAATAATAAATTGATACTATCTATCATATTCCACTATAATTAAGTACATTAGGCCTGGGGGGGATGGAATTGTTCCCATGGAAGGAAAGCAAGGACTGTCTTTATTTGAAATACTGGGAACTTGTCCAGTAACTGTACAGAATGGCGGTGTTTCTTTTTGTATGCAAGATGTCACAAGAGATTAGGAGGGGATGCTAAGGATTAATTTCTCTGAACATTAATGCTTCTGAATAAATCACAATGGACTCCAGGTTTTCTTGGAAACCAATCAAGTAAATTTGGATGGATGACAATAATTTTTCCCATCCTTCCAAGGATGAATAGACAGACACATGCTTATACATACCTGTACACATAATTTCACTAATAATCTAAGAATGGAATATAATCTCTGAGTATCAGTGGAATATTTCAGATTTTGAGGAAGTGTCATCACTGCCATACAGAGATAGCTAATCACAAAATGTTTGTTACAGTGCAAGTGAACAATCCTAAAACATCAGTTTATCAAACCAACAATGTAGCCAAGAAATTGAATACAAGGTAAATATGATACCTCAACTCTAAAAACAGAAATCATTCCTTTAAAATTATATTTTTTCAGACTCACATCTCAAGGTCTCACTTTTTCTTCCCACCACCCACTCATAACCACATTGATAAAACATTCAAAATCTGGACTTATGGTTTGGCGCCTCAGCGAGACAGTCAGGGAAATAGCGGGCTCTAATGAGCGCCGCGAAAACCCCGGCTGCCGAACCGCTGCCGATGGGTCTTCGGACCGGAATCATCCTGCAGGGATGGGGAAGAAAGAGGGGCATCTCGGATGACCAAGAGGAACAGGCAAGTTCCTCGGAGGTCAGAGGGAACCCTCTGTGAGTCGGTGGCGGGGGGCTGCAGCCATGGCGGCTGCCATGAAGCTGGGACAACCGGGCTAAGAGATGTGCAGGAGGAAAGTGGATTGAAATGGAGTTCTTTGAAGCCAGGTGAGTGACAACCAACCCAGGCTTGTAACAACGCTTAGAGCAATATTTTTAACTATAAGACCCCTAGCCATAAAACAGCAGCTGTACAACAAAGGGGCTATGGAAAGTTTAAAATGTAACCTTAAAGAGACAAAGACCCAATAAACAACTAATTTTTGAACAGAACTAATTGAAAAAACTAAATTTTGAGACATGGTGAAAAGACTGGATAAAGTTTTAAAATTTGAGCTGGATTTTTAAAAAGAAGATTTGATATTTTAATTAAAAGAAGAAGAGTAACCAAGTTGGACTGTTATATAATTGAAATAAAATGGATACTTGCATGACTAATGAAAATTGTGGATTGTAGAGAGACACCTTCTGGTTCAAAAAGGAACAATGTAACTTGGGGGGTTTTTTTGTTTTTTTTTTGCCATGGAAAAATTTGAATTCTACAGATAATAGTTGTGGGATTTTGTGGAGGAGGTTTTTCTTCTTGTCTGCAGGCAGCTTGACTTTTGTGAAAAGAAAGGGAAACTATAATGGAACTCTCATAATTGGAACAATAACAACTTAAAAAACTGGCGCAGGAATAAGAGAAGGATTTGGCACAGGAATAAGAGAAGGAAGAACTTGATACATTTTATCCGGAATAAAAGTAAGAAAAAGAACTAAAATGATAAATGGAGGACAAAATTTGAAGACTTTGAAAATGAAATGAAATATATGCTAGCAGGCGAGAACATGGAGAAATAAAGTGTACACGGCTGGAAAAAGGAAAAGAAGATTAAAACAGTGTGATTAAAAATGGAAAAATAATGTATAGGTGGATAATAATAATAAAAATGATAAATAATAATAATAAAAATAGATAAATATGGATGAATTGGAATAAGAGAAGAATATTTTGTAGATAAATAAAATTGAAATACCGATGGGAATTAGAATATAAAAGAAATAAATTATGTTAAAAGAGATTTATAAATGCATACAAAGATGTGTTTGAAGTAAGAACTATGTCTCAATGTTAAATTATTATAAAAAAGATAGTGATAATATGATTAACTGGGAATAAGTAATGTAATTGAGATTAAAAATGATCATACCGGTTTAACAGTAAAATTTAGAAGATTATTCTGGGATTGACAGCAAAAACAAAAATGATTATACTGGGTTTAACAGTAAAATTTAGATGATTATGCTGGGACTGACAGCAAAAACAAAAATGATTATACTGGGTTTAACAGTAAAAATAAGGATGATCTTGCTGGGAATAGTAGTAAAAATAAATGATTATGCTGGGTTTAACAGTGAAAATAAAAATGATTATGTTGGGATTAAAAGTAAAAAATGAGGATTAAGATGAAGATGATGTGCTGTGATAAACAATTAAAGATGATTATGTTGTGATTACTAGTAAAATTAGGATGATTATGTCGAGATAAACAGTAATGAAGATGATTTGTCGTGAGTGATAGTTAAGATATTGTTTATGATAATAGTAATGATTTATATTTTTAAGATACACTCATTTAAATAAAAAGAAAAGATGAAATGAAATGATATTGAGTTAGGATTTAAAGATTTAAGTAACGGGTTTTTGGATAATGGTATTATAAAATAGATAGAATTTAGGGGAAAATTGTGTAAAACATTAAGTTGTGTTATTTGGAAATTAAGATCTAAGGTGAAAAAATAGAAAGATAATTGTTTTGAGCGAGTTATTGTGAGCTGGGTTTTTTTTCTTTCTTTGTTTTATTTGTTTTAATTATTTTTATAAGATGATGATTAGTGGAGATGAGTCATTGTTAAAGATGAATTTGTGATTGTACCAATCTATGACCAGATCAATGCTTCGTTTTAAAAAGATGTATTTTATGTTTATGTTTAAAAAAAAATAATAAAAAAACTTTTTTACAAAAAAAAAACATTCAAAATCTGCTAACCATCGTCTCTTATTCTTCAGGTTACCAACAATTTTTTCATCCATTCTTTCTTTTACCTCATTTTACATCCTTAAATTGTCTTACAGCAGGCCATAACTATAAGTCATTTCCTAGCATTAAACTATCTTTAGGACCCTCAAAGTATTCCCAGACTTGATAGTTTTTTTATTATTTTTTTTAAACATAAACATAAAATAAATGGTGAAATGACTATTTTCAGCCTTGACTAAAAACATGTCATTGCATTCCATAATTCTCTCTCTTTGTCTCTCTTATTTTGTCTCCTTCATACACAAACACACAGAGAACTTTGGTCAATTTATTCTTACTGGAAAAGTTGAATTAGCTACTGCTTAAGAACTTAGCTAAAAATTTTCAGATTGATCTGGATTTATAGCAAACACACATTTGGGCATTTTACTATCCTTTCAAATTCATTTTGCAGGACAACCTGAGAAATTAGAAAAAATTATTCTGTAAAAACAAAAAAAACCCACATATGTTTAAACTGAAAAAAGTTATTGCAGGCAGGGGTTCTGCAATAGTATTTATCTTAAATACAAATTCTCTGCCAAGTGTTTGAACAGATTTAATTATTCATATCAAATAATTTTTCATTAGAAAATCTCCACTTTTTCTCACCTTGTAATTCTTTGTTTAAAGGCTACAAGCTGGGCTAAGTGGGTTGTCAGCCTGAATAGTTTGGGAATAGTAGGAAAGTAAGCAATGTGCAAGTATCCCAGTTATCTCTTGAAATTCAGTATATGATCACATACCCAATTTGAAAACAATCATGACTACACTAGGAAATAAAGCTTTAAAATTTGATAAATATGTTGGCAGATAATCTATATATTTTTATTTTGCTAAAGAAGTTATTTCAAATAGCAGTCAATTTCCAACAATTACACACTTTTTCAGAAAAGTATTTATATTTAATGCTTTTCTCCATATGTCCCAGACAAGTCTCTGTTTTCAAACTTAAGTCTTGCCACTTTTTGTCCAGTCCTTCAAAATAATGAAGTATTTATCTTAATTCTTGCCCAGTACTGCTATTGGAACAGGTGGCTCCAACTCCTCATTAAATATCACATTTTAAGGTAACCAATATTTCATTGTTCATTCTGGTTTATATATTTTTCATTTCAAAAATTAGACTTACCCAAAAAAAAAAGTTGAAGACAAACATGGAGTATTTCATACATGAGCTTACACCTGCCATCTTTTCTTCCTCGAGCAAGAAATATTCTCAAATGGAAGAAAAATCTCTCAGAAGGGATCTTCTTGAAATCGTTCTATTGCAGAATCAGGAAGAAGTTCTTAGCTGCTTTCTTTGCTGACAATAAAATGGGAAGTTATGAAGGAAAAACATGTTTGTTATTCATATCTGGTAGGTAAATATTAACCAGGCCACTGAACAAAAGCCAACTTTAGTATTTCCTTTTACCCACCTGCAAAGTTCATAAAAGTGATAATTGGCCATACAATTACTTTTTCATCACTGTTGTAACTGTGAATGGCCACTAAATAAGTAGTCATTGAACAAGGACTCCCTGTGCAGAGATCTAAATTCAGATATAGAAACTGTAGTAGCAATGATTCATTCTGGTGGGTACATGAAACAATAAAAGTAAAAATAAAAAATTGAATAAAATTTATTAGGATTGTGGGATATGGTAGCACACTGGCAGTCTTCCAGATTCCTGAGTGTCTGTCTGAGAGCTTTTATAGACAAGCTATACAAATTATACTATAGCCAATTAGCACAATATGAAACACAACTCTATTATCCTCAATAGAAAACACTTTTTAACAATAATATGCTTGTTGGTGACAGCTATACAAACATAGTTTCTAGAATGGATATAATGGTTATAGACTTCCTTACCTGTAACAGCTTTCCACATATATTTCTTGAATGAGAAGCAAAACATTTTCAAAGAAAAAAACAAAGAAAACCTGGTTTCCTTTTGAAAAGCACCTTTGGGAAAAAGTCTTACTGTTCAGTATCAGAAAGATAAACATATGTCTCCAAGTATTTAGTGGTTTGCAGCATTGAATATATGGTAGTAATATAGCTCATAGGGATGACTGCAATAAATCATGACTGCAATGTATTGATAAATCTCTTCTTTAAATCTTTTTTATTCTTTTTATAATTTTATAATTTTATAAAATTTTATAATTTTATATTCTTTTCCTGTCTTCAATTTTTGTGTTAGTTATTTTTTTTAAAAAAATGTAAAAAAATTGGTGGAACTGGGCAAAAATCTTCTTGGTTACAGCTGCCAGCTGCTTCTAAACCAGGAGCTGTGAGGCCCAGAGTTTCCAAATTGCAAACCAATTGCATCTTGGGTAGTGCTAGCCCATTCTGAGGAAACAATGAAACCTCTTTGGAATACAGCCTTTGAATCCCAAATCTCTCCATCTTGCTGGGATTGAGTCTCAACCTGTTCCCCCCATTCCAGAACCTGGCAGCCATCAGTTACCTGGCAGCACTTTAACACCATCATTTATTTGGCCATGTGTCAAGATGTACAGTTAGGTTTAAAACCTAACCCCACGTTGACAGATTATCCCACCCAGAGATTTCATGTGCACTTTGAATAGGAGTGGGGAGAGTATCGAATTTTGTGACATTTCTTACTTGAAGGATTTGGAGCTCAATCTCTAATCTAATCCTCCTGCCCATCACTCCCCCAGTGTGTAGAGCCAGAGGATGGCAATCTGTGGACCCAATAAGATATGAAGCCCATTCTCTACTTAAGAAACCCTTTAAGCATCTTCTGGAAGCCATGAAGTTCCTTAGATGTCAGGGTTTGGACATTTGAAAAGCTCTTCCCATGGAGGTTTGTGACACTAGAGTGCTTTGCAGCAATCAGGGACTGATCCAGCAAAGATAAAGGGCAAACATTAATGGCTCCAAGCATTATATTACATTGCAACTTCTCCAAAACAAATAATAGATCTAATGCAGGGGTGTCAAACTTGTGTAGTCACAGCGGCATCATATGACATATTGGGACTTTTATCCCTGTTCACTAAACTGAGCATGGGTGTGGCCAGTGTGTGGTGCATCGGGTCAGTTTAACAGACCTGATCTAGTGCATAGCCTCTGCAATGTGTCTCCCAAAGAACTCCTCAGATATTGAAGTCTTCAAAGACAAGAAGCTTCAGTAATTGTACAACCAACCTCCCAGAGAGACTCAGCAGCACAAGGAAACTGCTCTGCTGCATAAAAGACAATACAACAAGAGGGGAAATGCCCCCACCTCCAACCACATTTTGATAGTGTTAAATGAGGCAATCTTTACTTTAGGCAGACTTGGCATTCAGCAACAACAGCTGGATTCCAGTGGTTTCAAATTTCTTGTAAACTAGTCTTTCAGTAACCCATCCCATCCTTTCTCCATCAATCTCCACACAACTTCAATCACCTCCTATAATGGAATGCATGTGTGACCTTGGGAAAAGAGGAGATGAAATACTGCCTAGAAAACAAGCAGAGAAGAGGGGCAGGAGCTTGCAGTTTCTCAATGGTCAGAGAAAGAAACTAAGAAAGGACCCACCCTAATGGAGCAAGCAGTTAAAAGTGACATCTCTATTGCAGGATTTGTGTCATTCTCCCTGGGTAAACCACACAGGAAACACAACTAGATGAGCTAAACTACTTTTTTGTAAGGCTACATTAACTTGCAAGTTTGAAAGTACTACATTGCAACTACATATAAGTACACTGCATGTCTGTGGAAAAATTAAGACACAGAGAAGAGGAGAATGATGTAATTACCATTAATATGGAATCTATTGACAATTGGGGTCCATTAACCACCTTCATTACAAGCTTTTCAAATCTGTTCTCTGTTACTTTCTCATGAGAGATGGTATGTTGTTTTAAAAGCTGTTTTAATTTGCATTTACACTAGATCTTTCTTGAGAACATTTTTGTCATCTGTAAATTTATGACACACACACACACACACATACATATATGTCTATAAAACCACCAATGTAAAACAGATTGGTATATATAACTTTAAAAAGTAAGACAGAGCCTTTTCTGAGATTCCTTCTCTCTCTCTCTCTCCCTCCCTCCCTCTCTTTCTCCATGCAAACCAACCAGGGTGAAGAGATTGTTTTTGCCAGACATGATTACTTCCGAAACCTTTTGAAATGAGACAAAAGTTGGCATAAAATTAGACTGAAGCTGAATATGGACTATTTAATGGTTGTACCACCCTGCAGTACAATTATTAACTTTTGACTGACATTTCCGAAATAAGAGGATGCTGTAGCACTATGCCATTTCTATCTGATAAGCAATGTTAACTTGCAATGTATGTTCTAGGAAGTCAAACCATGCTTTAAGCATGCAGATATAATGAGTCCTCATGGAAGGCAGAACCAGATAAAAAAATCATGTAGCAGCTTAACAGTGCTTAAAAAATATCTTCACAGAAAAATGCAAGACTGATTCTTAAAAGTCCATTTTGGTCCAATTTAAGTAAAACTAGACACGAAATATGATAAACTTGAATAGTCAACATGGGTTACCATAAACAAAGGCCTCATCTTGAATTGCAGGAAAATATATCTGTACAAAGGTAATCGGCATGTTCAAAGTCTATGAATAGCTTTTTGTTCTATACTTTCCCGCTCGTATAAATTATATTCATTTATTGTAGCACAGTCACTAAATAAACATGCATAACAGAGTGTATAAACTCAGTAGAGATTTTCTGTTTTTAAAAAAATCTGAGCTCTCCCACAGGAACATATTAATTTATATCTAATTTTCAAAAAGTGTTGTAGTAAAACTAAAACCAACAGATATTTCTGGGCAAAGGTTCATGGACTAACCCAGAAGGAAAAGTCGATTAAGTTTGCAGAAATTCATGAGTTACAGTACCTCAAATTTCTAGTCTAACTGTTATACATCTGTCTGATTCACTCTTAAACATATTAAGCTGGAAAAGGCACAATCAGATTTCCTTCAACCCATGTTTCAATAGTTTTAAGTGCCTAACTCAGCACTGTGGCTTGAAGTAGATTTGATCAAAGCTGGTACTTAAGTTTTATTCTTAATGATCAACTATTAAATATTAAATTTCTTTCCAGAGACCTGGTGCCTTTTACCTTAGTATATAATTACATGTCCAATAAGTTTCATGCAGGGTGGATAAAAATCAATGATTTTTTTAAAAAAATTAAAAAAAATCGGATTTTTTAAATTTAAATCGGATTTTTTTTATTTAAATCAGATTTTTTTATTTAAATCAGATTTTTATTTATTTTTATTTAATTTATTTTAATAAAAAACTTTTGGGGTAAAAATCTATCGTAAAATAGTTTTCTATTTAAGATACATAAATAATTTAGTTCATTCAGCATGAAATGGAGCTTAGTTATGTAGCACAAGGCTGTATATTCTGCAACACTGGGACTATCGGTGAGTCAACAGTGGGTCAAAGGAGTAGCAGAGATGACAGTTGCTCTTTAAAAATTATGATTTAAATCGAGTTGATTTAAATCAAGTCTTTTTATTAGTGATTTAAATCATGATTTAAATCAAGATTTAAATCGACTCGATTTAAATCAAATCCACCCTGGTTTCATGTGAATTTTCACCACTAATACAGCTACCTTTAACATTTTAAAAAGTTAAACAAAATATTGGATTTTCTTTTTTTAACTGTGCCCATCAGCTGGACTTGTATAAGCTAACAGTTAACATTTATCTTGGTGGATTTTTAGTCTTTTCCAATTACACAGATGTGGAATAGGAATAGGAATAGGAATAGGAATAGGAATAGGAATGGAATGGAATGGAATGGAATGGAATGGAATAGAATAGAATAGAATAGAATAGAATAGAATAGAATAGAATAGAATAGAATAGAATAGAATAGAATAGAATAGAATAGAATAGAATAGAATAGAATAGAATAGAATAGCTTTATTGGCCAAGTGTGATTGGACACACAAAGAATTTGTCTCCAGAGCATAAGCTCTCAGCGAACATACAAAGTGATAGGTCCTATATCATACTTATTCGTAAGATACATGTTTACTTATTTAACAATTCTCTAGAAGCACAGGACATTTACATTGGCTCTTTTTAATGTTTCTAAGTAGTCTTAGAAAGTAAATATTGTAATATTCATCTGGAAGGCTGTGTTTTTAGTAATAGATGAGATAAAGAGCTTGTATTACATCTGTCTTCTTTTGGCAGATATAGGTTCAACTGTATTTGTAGGCAACTTCTGTTCTATGCTTATATAGCGAACAAATGATCTTTCTGGATTTGGCTCATGATGCGTTGTTGGGCCCAGAATT